ACACATTTTTTGAAATGCACCTGCATTTTGAATGCATTCATCCAGTTTTGGCAATGAAATTAATACACTCGTAAGTTTCACCATTGCTTTAACAACAATATGAAAGTACTTGTACACAGTACTTTTATGTACTCAAAATACATCCCCAATCACTCGATACTCGGCACAGGTCGCCAGTTTGTATACGCAAATCGCAACTTGTTTCTCCAGAGGAACTGGAACGGTTAAAAACATGCTCTGCCCCGGACGTAGCAATTCGCACAGTTCGAAAAATGAACTCTTTGACATCCTTAAGTTCTCAAAAAACAAATTTTTCATTTTTAGGCTCTTGCATAAGTGACAAAAATTCATTGCTTCTTGGCCTGCTCCTGAATCTTCGCACTCTAGGTGTCCTCAGGCTGAGAGTCGCGGTTGCAGACGGGTACACCTGCATCAGCATCCTGTGACTCCTAGCCACCAAAAACCGCCTCACTTTTAATAAAGCCATCGATCTTCTGTGCCTCCACACAGCAACTTTGGAAATTAATTTTCCGGTTCTTATTGCAAATGAAGAATTTAACGTTATCCATCGCGTTGTTTGGTTTGTTTACTTTTTGCGAAAGTGTGACCAGACTAAAATACCTAATTTTTTACGTCTGGCATCTCTACTGAAATCAAATCATGAATTGATATGTGTAGCATAAACAGGGATTGTTTTTATATCGCGCTTTAAAGAAATCGCGATTCCCATAGCATAAACATAGTAATAGAGCTCCTCGTGAATATAAAATAGGTGATTATGTGGCTATTCGTAATGTCGATACTACAGCAGATGTAAACAAGAAGTTTGCCCCAAAATATCGTGGGCCATATATGAGAAGCCGTGTTTTTGATAATGATTGATATGAAGTTGTTGATATTGATGATTGTCAATTAACTCAATTGCCATTTAAAAGCATGTTGGATCTGTAGTCATGTTGGCCGAATGTAAATAGTGAAAATATCTTATTTTAATAGACGTAAGAGAATGCCCCATGTAAATATCGATAACAAGCGTTGAATAATTCGATGAAGCACGAGAGGGAAAGTGCGATCACTAAGAAGAGGACGAGGATATTGACAAGACACGAGAACCGGGAATAAGTTAACATAAAGTGAAATTAAAAGCTTTACATATCGGGTGCGGAGTTGAAAGGCCGTAAAAGCTGTAATAACTCGGCTATGAGATACAAGGACATAATAAAGAGTTCGAAATCTGAGTTTAAAGCTATCCAAGACCGAAACAGCGTGTTAGCTGTGAAGGCCATTATGGACCGTCTGGAATCAGCAAAACTGGAGGGGCTGAACCAGGGGGAATCGGGGCTGAGTGAAATCTCGCCTGGGGAGCCAACATTTTCGAGCCCGGGAGATGACGCTTGTGTTGGTAGTGAAAACAAACATGAGCAAGAAAGGGACGACCATAGTATACCGGCAAAAGGCGACAAAGTAGTGGCGTCTGAAGAATATCTGGAAGTTTCTGGCGTGGCGGCTGCGGTCTTGCAGCGGCGTGATCAACTGGTGGCGTCTGAAGAATTTTTGGAAGCTTCTGGCATGGCGGCTGCGGACGTGCAGCGGCGTGATCAAGTGGCGGAAAACGATGAGGCAGAAATCCAACATTTGCAACAAATCGAGAAGCTGTATGTTGCGCGTAAATGGGTGGCTGACTTAGAAAATTCGTTGAGCCAAAATGAACCCGCTCGAGGACATGGCATCGACATGAATGATTTGGGTGCGTTAATTACAGTGTATCGGAGAAACAATGATTTATTTTCGCCATACGTTTGCTTAGGATATCTACGAGGTCGTTCATGATTGAGACGGCAGCCCTAACTTGGCCAGCACTGCGAACCGAATTGATAGCTGTATTCGACCTCAAGGTTAAGGTTTAAAACTGGTTAGAGAAATTATCATCCGATTCATCATGGAAGGCTTGGAAGAAAATTCGGGAGCCGCGTTTGCAATGGCTAACTGTAGTTCTTTGGACGACTTGCGGAAGAAATTATGATCTACGATAAATCAAAGTAGACGCTTGGAAAGATTTCAAAGTTGGAGAAGCAAACTAAACGGAAGTCCAATTTCCAGTCGACCAGAAGGCAGGATTCTGAAGCCTCTCGCTGCTACAACTGTCGGCAAATGGGACATTTTGATAGATTGTAGACAACCCAAAATGCCGGAAGGGGTCTGCTTTAACTGCTACAGCACAAAGTATCAGTAACGCCCCAAGCGGAAGACGAAAACTATGGTGGCAGCCGTGCAGGAGAACGCGGGATCTGGTTCGTAGGAGTTGGCAGCAATTCAAGCAATTGAATTATGACGATTGCGAGGTGAAAAGGGAAAATACATACGCATTGCCAGCACAGTGAAGTGCTTTGATCATTTTTGTTCAACAACGTACTAGATCTTGTTAAAAATAGTCGATGATAATATTCTGCATTACCTGTGTTATTAGATAGAGACTCGCTAAAGATAATCGAAGTTCAATTAGTTCATAAAAAAACAAGAACGCTAAAGTCGAGTATCTCGACTATCAGATACCCGTTACTCAGCTAAAGGGACCAAAGGGAAATGGAGATATGCAAGCAGCAAAGCGAGATTAAAATACGCCACCCACCGGCGGTAGACAGATTTAAGCGTTATGGGCGTTAGAGTTGGCGTGGATCAATCTATAGGTATTGACGAGACCAATACATTTCAGTTAAAATTTTTTATCTAGCATGAAAATTGTAAGCGTCACAGGCTTGGGCGGTTTGTGGGTGTTAAATCGATGGCTTCGATGACCTGGCCAATGAAGTCTTCTACTGTTGATGCACCTGAACTCCTGGTAGAGACATCTATGCCTAGGAGCCGCCAAACTTCAAGTAAGCATATTAATTATCATTAACGGTAACACGATGGTAATTTTTAATGATTTCACTTCATTTTTAAATAAGGCAATCGTCGTGCAGATGGTTCAGAAGATGTCAAACGACAACAAGGAGGCGTTGGACATGCTGGAGGTGCAGAACCAGGAGTTCCTTGAGGCTCAACGGGAAATCGACGCCACCTTTGTGCAGAGCATGCGCGATGTTCTTGCGGAGGATCGGGCCGAGACCCAAAGATTCATGCGAGTGTTCTTCAACTCCAATTAAAGCTGAAATGTTTCGAAACAAAACTAAAAGTGCAATTTTCTTTTATATTGAACTGCTTCGCAAAGGAAAGTTAGATACAATGTATTCCTTAATGTGTTCCCTAAGATCAGATGGATCTCATTCAGGAGATTCCAATACTTTGCTGGTTACTTTCATATTCGTTGATTGGCGTAAACTTCTGCTTTCTTATTTCCACGAAGTTATGAAGTACATATCATGTTTATAATCGGTATCTACTCTTTTGGCCAGGCACCTCCAGCGTCCTATCAATCGACCAAAGGCATTCACCACTACAATTCTGCCCGAGCTAAGGTAGCAGTTGAACGACTCTTCCTGTTAGGTATCCAGTATATGGTTTTAGAAGCCACGGTAGCAATGGGTATGCAGGATCTCTTAGGATAATGAAGGGAATCTTTTTGTTGCCCATCAGTTTTACAAATTCCGAAATAATTCGGCTATGGTTCTTGAAAATTCCAGATTCTTTAAAGACCGTCGCGTCGTGGACACTTCCTGGCAATTTCATGCTGACGTCTCTAAACCTAAAAATAAATAATATTTGGAAAAAAAACCAATACCTAAATATGGTTTTACTTACAAGTAATTGTTGTCAACTACAGCTTTCATGACCATCGATTCCCATCCCTTGTGATTAACGAAATCCATGTAGCCAATCTTTGGGGCTTTAACAGGAATGTGTGTTCCTAAATAATTTTTACAAAGCGTTTATAATTTGTAATTAATATTCTAAAAGGCATTTTACCATCAATAGCTCCAATCACGTTAGGAATGTGACACATTTTTTGAAATGCACCTGCATTTTGAATGCATTCATCCAGTTTTGGCAATGAAATTAATACACTCGTAAGTTTCACCATTGCTTTAACAACAATATGAAAGTACTTGTACACAGTACTTTTATGTACTCAAAATACATCCCCAATCACTCGATACTCGGCACAGGTCGCCAGTTTGTATACGCAAATCGCAACTTGTTTCTCCAGAGGAACTGGAACGGTTAAAAACATGCTCTGCCCCGGACGTAGCAATTCGCACAGTTCGAAAAATGAACTCTTTGACATCCTTAAGTTCTCAAAAAACAAATTTTTCATTTTTAGGCTCTTGCATAAGTGACAAAAATTCATTGCTTCTTGGCCTGCTCCTGAATCTTCGCACTCTAGGTGTCCTCAGGCTGAGAGTCGCGGTTGCAGACGGGTACACCTGCATCAGCATCCTGTGACTCCTAGCCACCAAAAACCGCCTCACTTTTAATAAAGCCATCGATCTTCTGTGCCTCCACACAGCAACTTTGGAAATTAATTTTCCGGTTCTTATTGCAAATGAAGAATTTAACGTTATCCATCGCGTTGTTTGGTTTGTTTACTTTTTGCGAAAGTGTGACCAGACTAAAATACCTAATTTTTTACGTCTGGCATCTCTACTGAAATCAAATCATGAATTGATATGTGTAGCATAAACAGGGATTGTTTTTATATCGCGCTTTAAAGAAATCGCGATTCCCATAGCATAAACATAGTAATAGAGCTCCTCGTGAATATAAAATAGGTGATTATGTGGCTATTCGTAATGTCGATACTACAGCAGATGTAAACAAGAAGTTTGCCCCAAAATATCGTGGGCCATATATGAGAAGCCGTGTTTTTGATAATGATTGATATGAAGTTGTTGATATTGATGATTGTCAATTAACTCAATTGCCATTTAAAAGCATGTTGGATCTGTAGTCATGTTGGCCGAATGTAAATAGTGAAAATATCTTATTTTAATAGACGTAAGAGAATGCCCCATGTAAATATCGATAACAAGCGTTGAATAATTCGATGAAGCACGAGAGGGAAAGTGCGATCACTAAGAAGAGGACGAGGATATTGACAAGACACGAGAACCGGGAATAAGTTAACATAAAGTGAAATTAAAAGCTTTACATATCGGGTGCGGAGTTGAAAGGCCGTAAAAGCTGTAATAACTCGGCTATGAGATACAAGGACATAATAAAGAGTTCGAAATCTGAGTTTAAAGCTATCCAAGACCGAAACAGCGTGTTAGCTGTGAAGGCCATTATGGACCGTCTGGAATCAGCAAAACTGGAGGGGCTGAACCAGGGGGAATCGGGGCTGAGTGAAATCTCGCCTGGGGAGCCAACATTTTCGAGCCCGGGAGATGACGCTTGTGTTGGTAGTGAAAACAAACATGAGCAAGAAAGGGACGACCATAGTATACCGGCAAAAGGCGACAAAGTAGTGGCGTCTGAAGAATATCTGGAAGTTTCTGGCGTGGCGGCTGCGGTCTTGCAGCGGCGTGATCAACTGGTGGCGTCTGAAGAATTTTTGGAAGCTTCTGGCATGGCGGCTGCGGACGTGCAGCGGCGTGATCAAGTGGCGGAAAACGATGAGGCAGAAATCCAACATTTGCAACAAATCGAGAAGCTGTATGTTGCGCGTAAATGGGTGGCTGACTTAGAAAATTCGTTGAGCCAAAATGAACCCGCTCGAGGACATGGCATCGACATGAATGATTTGGGTGCGTTAATTACAGTGTATCGGAGAAACAATGATTTATTTTCGCCATACGTTTGCTTAGGATATCTACGAGGTCGTTCATGATTGAGACGGCAGCCCTAACTTGGCCAGCACTGCGAACCGAATTGATAGCTGTATTCGACCTCAAGGTTAAGGTTTAAAACTGGTTAGAGAAATTATCATCCGATTCATCATGGAAGGCTTGGAAGAAAATTCGGGAGCCGCGTTTGCAATGGCTAACTGTAGTTCTTTGGACGACTTGCGGAAGAAATTATGATCTACGATAAATCAAAGTAGACGCTTGGAAAGATTTCAAAGTTGGAGAAGCAAACTAAACGGAAGTCCAATTTCCAGTCGACCAGAAGGCAGGATTCTGAAGCCTCTCGCTGCTACAACTGTCGGCAAATGGGACATTTTGATAGATTGTAGACAACCCAAAATGCCGGAAGGGGTCTGCTTTAACTGCTACAGCACAAAGTATCAGTAACGCCCCAAGCGGAAGACGAAAACTATGGTGGCAGCCGTGCAGGAGAACGCGGGATCTGGTTCGTAGGAGTTGGCAGCAATTCAAGCAATTGAATTATGACGATTGCGAGGTGAAAAGGGAAAATACATACGCATTGCCAGCACAGTGAAGTGCTTTGATCATTTTTGTTCAACAACGTACTAGATCTTGTTAAAAATAGTCGATGATAATATTCTGCCATTACCTGTGTTATTAGATAGAGACTCGCTAAAGATAATCGAAGTTCAATTAGTTCATAAAAAAACAAGAACGCTAAAGTCGAGTATCTCGACTATCAGATACCCGTTACTCAGCTAAAGGGACCAAAGGGAAATGGAGATATGCAAGCAGCAAAGCGAGATTAAAATACGCCACCCACCGGCGGTAGACAGATTTAAGCGTTATGGGCGTTAGAGTTGGCGTGGATCAATCTATAGGTATTGACGAGACCAATACATTTCAGTTAAAATTTTTTATCTAGCATGAAAATTGTAAGCGTCACAGGCTTGGGCGGTTTGTGGGTGTTAAATCGATGGCTTCGATGACCTGGCCAATGAAGTCTTCTACTGTTGATGCACCTGAACTCCTGGTAGAGACATCTATGCCTAGGAGCCGCCAAACTTCAAGTAAGCATATTAATTATCATTAACGGTAACACGATGGTAATTTTTAATGATTTCACTTCATTTTTAAATAAGGCAATCGTCGTGCAGATGGTTCAGAAGATGTCAAACGACAACAAGGAGGCGTTGGACATGCTGGAGGTGCAGAACCAGGAGTTCCTTGAGGCTCAACGGGAAATCGACGCCACCTTTGTGCAGAGCATGCGCGATGTTCTTGCGGAGGATCGGGCCGAGACCCAAAGATTCATGCGAGTGTTCTTCAACTCCAATTAAAGCTGAAATGTTTCGAAACAAAACTAAAAGTGCAATTTTCTTTTATATTGAACTGCTTCGCAAAGGAAAGTTAGATACAATGTATTCCTTAATGTGTTCCCTAAGATCAGATGGATCTCATTCAGGAGATTCCAATACTTTGCTGGTTACTTTCATATTCGTTGATTGGCGTAAACTTCTGCTTTCTTATTTCCACGAAGTTATGAAGTACATATCATGTTTATAATCGGTATCTACTCTTTTGGCCAGGCACCTCCAGCGTCCTATCAATCGACCAAAGGCATTCACCACTACAATTCTGCCCGAGCTAAGGTAGCAGTTGAACGACTCTTCCTGTTAGGTATCCAGTATATGGTTTTAGAAGCCACGGTAGCAATGGGTATGCAGGATCTCTTAGGATAATGAAGGGAATCTTTTTGTTGCCCATCAGTTTTACAAATTCCGAAATAATTCGGCTATGGTTCTTGAAAATTCCAGATTCTTTAAAGACCGTCGCGTCGTGGACACTTCCTGGCAATTTCATGCTGACGTCTCTAAACCTAAAAATAAATAATATTTGGAAAAAAAACCAATACCTAAATATGGTTTTACTTACAAGTAATTGTTGTCAACTACAGCTTTCATGACCATCGATTCCCATCCCTTGTGATTAACGAAATCCATGTAGCCAATCTTTGGGGCTTTAACAGGAATGTGTGTTCCTAAATAATTTTTACAAAGCGTTTATAATTTGTAATTAATATTCTAAAAGGCATTTTACCATCAATAGCTCCAATCACGTTAGGAATGTGACACATTTTTTGAAATGCACCTGCATTTTGAATGCATTCATCCAGTTTTGGCAATGAAATTAATACACTCGTAAGTTTCACCATTGCTTTAACAACAATATGAAAGTACTTGTACACAGTACTTTTATGTACTCAAAATACATCCCCAATCACTCGATACTCGGCACAGGTCGCCAGTTTGTATACGCAAATCGCAACTTGTTTCTCCAGAGGAACTGGAACGGTTAAAAACATGCTCTGCCCCGGACGTAGCAATTCGCACAGTTCGAAAAATGAACTCTTTGACATCCTTAAGTTCTCAAAAAACAAATTTTTCATTTTTAGGCTCTTGCATAAGTGACAAAAATTCATTGCTTCTTGGCCTGCTCCTGAATCTTCGCACTCTAGGTGTCCTCAGGCTGAGAGTCGCGGTTGCAGACGGGTACACCTGCATCAGCATCCTGTGACTCCTAGCCACCAAAAACCGCCTCACTTTTAATAAAGCCATCGATCTTCTGTGCCTCCACACAGCAACTTTGGAAATTAATTTTCCGGTTCTTATTGCAAATGAAGAATTTAACGTTATCCATCGCGTTGTTTGGTTTGTTTACTTTTTGCGAAAGTGTGACCAGACTAAAATACCTAATTTTTTACGTCTGGCATCTCTACTGAAATCAAATCATGAATTGATATGTGTAGCATAAACAGGGATTGTTTTTATATCGCGCTTTAAAGAAATCGCGATTCCCATAGCATAAACATAGTAATAGAGCTCCTCGTGAATATAAAATAGGTGATTATGTGGCTATTCGTAATGTCGATACTACAGCAGATGTAAACAAGAAGTTTGCCCCAAAATATCGTGGGCCATATATGAGAAGCCGTGTTTTTGATAATGATTGATATGAAGTTGTTGATATTGATGATTGTCAATTAACTCAATTGCCATTTAAAAGCATGTTGGATCTGTAGTCATGTTGGCCGAATGTAAATAGTGAAAATATCTTATTTTAATAGACGTAAGAGAATGCCCCATGTAAATATCGATAACAAGCGTTGAATAATTCGATGAAGCACGAGAGGGAAAGTGCGATCACTAAGAAGAGGACGAGGATATTGACAAGACACGAGAACCGGGAATAAGTTAACATAAAGTGAAATTAAAAGCTTTACATATCGGGTGCGGAGTTGAAAGGCCGTAAAAGCTGTAATAACTCGGCTATGAGATACAAGGTCATAATAAAGAGTTCGAAATCTGAGTTTAAAGCTATCCAAGACCGAAACAGCGTGTTAGCTGTGAAGGCCATTATGGACCGTCTGGAATCAGCAAAACTGGAGGGGCTGAACCAGGGGGAATCGGGGCTGAGTGAAATCTCGCCTGGGGAGCCAACATTTTCGAGCCCGGGAGATGACGCTTGTGTTGGTAGTGAAAACAAACATGAGCAAGAAAGGGACGACCATAGTATACCGGCAAAGTGGCGTCTGAAGAATATCTGGAAGTTTCTGGCGTGGCGGCTGCGGTCTTGCAGCGGCGTGATCAACTGGTGGCGTCTGAAGAATTTTTGGAAGCTTCTGGCATGGCGGCTGCGGACGTGCAGCGGCGTGATCAAGTGGCGGAAAACGATGAGGCAGAAATCCAACATTTGCAACAAATCGAGAAGCTGTATGTTGCGCGTAAATGGGTGGCTGACTTAGAAAATTCGTTGAGCCAAAATGAACCCGCTCGAGGACATGGCATCGACATGAATGATTTGGGTGCGTTAATTACAGTGTATCGGAGAAACAATGATTTATTTTCGCCATACGTTTGCTTAGGAGATCTGCGAGGTCGTTCATGATTGAGACGGCAGCCCTAACTTGGCCAGCACTGCGAACCGAATTGATAGCTGTATTCGACCTCAAGGTTAAGGTTTAAAACTGGTTAGAGAAATTATCATCCGATTCATCATGGAAGGCTTGGAAGAAAATTCGGGAGCCGCGTTTGCAATGGCTAACTGTAGTTCTTTGGACGACTTGCGGAAGAAATTATGATCTACGATAAATCAAAGTAGACGCTTGGAAAGATTTCAAAGTTGGAGAAGCAAACTAAACGGAAGTCCAATTTCCAGTCGACCAGAAGGCAGGATTCTGAAGCCTCTCGCTGCTACAACTGTCGGCAAATGGGACATTTTGATAGATTGTAGACAACCCAAAATGCCGGAAGGGGTCTGCTTTAACTGCTACAGCACAAAGTATCAGTAACGCCCCAAGCGGAAGACGAAAACTATGGTGGCAGCCGTGCAGGAGAACGCGGGATCTGGTTCGTAGGAGTTGGCAGCAATTCAAGCAATTGAATTATGACGATTGCGAGGTGAAAAGGGAAAATACATACGCATTGCCAGCACAGTGAAGTGCTTTGATCATTTTTGTTCAACAACGTACTAGATCTTGTTAAAAATAGTCGATGATAATATTCTGCTATTACCTGTGTTATTAGATAGAGACTCGCTAAAGATAATCGAAGTTCAATTAGTTCATAAAAAAACAAGAAGAACGCTAAAGTCGAGTATCTCGACTATCAGATACCCGTTACTCAGCTAAAGGGACCAAAGGGAAATGGAGATATGCAAGCAGCAAAGCGAGATTAAAATACGCCACCCACCGGCGGTAGACAGATTTAAGCGTTATGGGCGTTAGAGTTGGCGTGGATCAATCTATAGGTATTGACGAGACCAATACATTTCAGTTAAAATTTTTTATCTAGCATGAAAATTGTAAGCGTCACAGGCTTGGGCGGTTTGTGGGTGTTAAATCGATGGCTTCGATGACCTGGCCAATGAAGTCTTCTACTGTTGATGCACCTGAACTCCTGGTAGAGACATCTATGCCTAGGAGCCGCCAAACTTCAAGTAAGCATATTAATTATCATTAACGGTAACACGATGGTAATTTTTAATGATTTCACTTCATTTTTAAATAAGGCAATCGTCGTGCAGATGGTTCAGAAGATGTCAAACGACAACAAGGAGGCGTTGGACATGCTGGAGGTGCAGAACCAGGAGTTCCTTGAGGCTCAACGGGAAATCGACGCCACCTTTGTGCAGAGCATGCGCGATGTTCTTGCGGAGGATCGGGCCGAGACCCAAAGATTCATGCGAGTGTTCTTCAACTCCAATTAAAGCTGAAATGTTTCGAAACAAAACTAAAAGTGCAATTTTCTTTTATATTGAACTGCTTCGCAAAGGAAAGTTAGATACAATGTATTCCTTAATGTGTTCCCTAAGATCAGATGGATCTCATTCAGGAGATTCCAATACTTTGCTGGTTACTTTCATATTCGTTGATTGGCGTAAACTTCTGCTTTCTTATTTCCACGAAGTTATGAAGTACATATCATGTTTATAATCGGTATCTACTCTTTTGGCCAGGCACCTCCAGCGTCCTATCAATCGACCAAAGGCATTCACCACTACAATTCTGCCCGAGCTAAGGTAGCAGTTGAACGACTCTTCCTGTTAGGTATCCAGTATATGGTTTTAGAAGCCACGGTAGCAATGGGTATGCAGGGTCTCTTAGGATAATGAAGGGAATCTTTTTGTTGCCCATCAGTTTTACAAATTCCGAAATAATTCGGCTATGGTTCTTGAAAATTC